AACCTGATGATTTGGTCAATAGTGTTCGGCCATTCAGAAGGCCTAGAGAAATGTTTTTCTCACAACATTGGACTTTTTATTTTTATTGTAAATAAAAATGTGGTTGGTTGATTGTACATTATATTGGTAGTTAATCTAATACATAAGGCCTTCAGTTTTGCTCCTGAAGTCCTAACCAATGGAAGAGCTTGCTTTGGCTCTGTCTACCTAGATGACATAGAGGAAAAATGTCAACTTTATTTCCAACCAAAACCTAACCATGAAACAAAATTATTATTAATTATTATAAATCCAGTGGTTAATTACAACAAGCATGACGATTGTATTACATGTATAGGCCCCAGAGGGGTCCTCTCTGCTGTGTACCTAATAAACCTCACTATGCTACATAGATTTTAAACTTAATGTTAGATAAAGATTAGAAAAATAAAATTCAGATAATGGTTAACATTTTGCAACACTAGTTTGGTGTAAAATGCCTTTCATGAAAGGAGAGAGGGATGTTTCTTGCTGCATATCGCTGTTGTCGGAAGAAAACCTTGTATCTCCATTTTTCCAGTTTTTGACATAATTTGAAAATGCCTGTTGTCCTTTACGTTGTGTGTAAATTTCATGATGAATGGACTAAAAGAAACAGCCCAAAATTACTTGGAAAAAAATCTGGTTTCATTGACTTACATTATACTAATGTCAATACTGCTGTAATGTTATTTGATCTTCCTAACATAAAAACTTCTTAACCATAATTCAAAAGGTAGAAAAACTCATCATGATGATTGACAGGGGCTCAGTTCAAAATGCTAGTTAGCTACACTGCAAAAGCTTTTTGTGTTAAGTCAAAGTGACTTAGCTTGGTTTAGTTAGGACTGCTTTCGAGTTAGATAAACAGTTTAAGTTGAGTTTACTCAAATCTGATTAGGGTTGCCTACTTATAAACTGAAATTACCCCTATTATTATTATGGAATTTTAGTCTTTTTTTAATCCCCTCTAATTTGGTCATTGCTAATTCCCACCTGCTGGTTAGGACTCCCCCATTGCACAGTCCCCCCAGGCTAGAGGGGCGACGGCTGAGTGCTTCCTCCTCTCAGACTCCCAACCGTAGTGCATCTTTGGTGTCACTGGGACGTTGCAGACAGTTAGACAGTTGCGTCAGTCAGGAGCTGTGAAATTACAGAAAGAAAGACAATAACACAATAAAAATATTATTAACACTTTTCTCTCTAAACAGCTGTTCCTTATCTAATCTCAGACAATGTTAGCAACTATTTGAGCACAGGTTTCACGGCGCTGAGTAATTTTACCTTTCTGTTCTTTCTTACATCAACTTTGTAGCTCCTGAGTGGCACAACTGTGTGAGTATCTGCTCATCAGGAGTTGTGAAGTTCTAATCCTAGCGACATACAGTCCTCCATGGTTAGGAGCCTGACAGTAAGAAGCACTCTGCCCACTGCCCTCTACCTGTGACTTGGGGGCATTGTGTGATAAGAGGAGTCCAAACCTGTAGGTGAGAATTAGAAATAACCAAACTGCAGAAACTTAGTAAATAAAAGTAAGCAATTTAAAGTTATATGGAGGAAACACATCTTGTTTTGCTTTAAAATAAGCTCAACTCAAACTATTGGGTAACACTTTCTTTTAGTCTCTTAAGTTCTATATATTAGCCAGGTTAGTGTCTAATACATAGACACTAAACCCCCCCAACACACAAACAACCCCCCACACCCAGACCCAAAATAACACAAATGACACATAACACATCTTTTATCCAACAGACAGCAACAAAAACAACAACAATAACTCCCTTTTACGGGGAGCGCATGCCTCCAATGAGTGTCTTCACATGACCCTCTGCATGGCCACACCTCCCAAGCCTCTCACTATCGCATGCAGCCAGCAGTGGGATGCTACAATATATTGCTGCTGTCGGAAGAAAACCTTGTGTGTCTGTTTTTGTCTTTTTTCAGTTTTTGACATAATTTGAACATGCCTGTTGCCCTTTACATTGTGTGTAAATTTCATGATGAATGGACCATAAGAGACGGCCCAAAATGACTTGGAAAAAGTTCTGGTTCCACTGACTTACATTAAAAGTAAAGTAGGTTTTTTCCTTCTCCTGTAAAGTTATCATTTTGGAGATACAAGGTTTTCTTCCGACAACAGCGATGTACTATACTAATAATGTGCTACCAATGGTGGTGTACTACTTTGGCATACTGTTTACCATGGTAAGCACAACTGTGCAAAAGTTTGACTGACTTTTTTTTTCCAGTCTTACCCACAAAGGGCCGGTGTGAAGGCCACTTGGTTAATTAGTTGGTCTCAGTTTTCAACAACTGATCACGTGTCGCCCTGCTTTGTATAATCAAAACCCACAGCCACACCGGCCCTTTCTGGATGAGATCAGACACTCCTGTTTTACACTGTAGCTCGTTTACTGCTGCTCAGCTTTAACTCATGAATGCTCCACCCTAATTCTGACAGGTGAGGAGAAACTACAGATCAGCCTGTTCCAACATAGTCCCACCCCTATCTACCAGAGCCTCTCGTTCAAAACTAATCAGTATTCGTATCAAGTTCATAGCTTCATGTACAACAACAAAAACAGATTAAGGAAATTAGTTGACAGCCTCTTTAATACAAAAAAGAAATTTGTGCTGGTCTGGCTATTTTTTTACTTTAATATGCCTTCTTATAATGCTAAAACACATAACCGTACATTATGTAAGATTAAACTACCTGCATTTGAGCTCAGTGTTATTTTTAACAGCGTTAGATGGCATAAAAACATGTTAAGTTAGAGATGATTTTCCTGAAGTGATGTAGTTCAGGCTGTCTGCATTCTTGTACCAGCACTTCTTTGGTCTGTCTGCATTGCTGAGTGACTTCAGCACCTGTTCCTGCCCAACACATAAGCTCCTATCTATGTGAGAATTCTGATTTACTCCACTGTGTTATGTGCAGTCTAGTACAGTTGGTTCCCACACATTCTGACCACACGCATTGATGGGAAAACATGGTTTGTGTTATGCGCTCTGTTGAGCTGTTGCAAAACCCTGATGCCATTTCTCGCACCGATGGATCAGTTCCACTGTAGCGAAATGCATTTGCGTTCATTTACTTTTGGTGTGACTTCAGTCTATTTACTTCTTTTATTTAATGCCAAGGAAAAAAAGTGCTGTTCTCGCCTTTGATTCTACTCTTATCCTTTAATAATGCTGTGATGGTCTGGTGAAAAAGACAAGGTGGGTATATTTCAGTTTTGGGTACAAGAGATTGTCCTTACTGAATCACGAAGCTCCAAGTGAGAGAAAAGGCAATTTATCCAGTCCAAACGTGATGTAGTTACAATAAGAAAGCTCAGTATTTACAAATATGTACAAGACAAAGTAAATACTCTGTTACCCTATCATTTAAGTGTTAAACCTCAATTTAGGCTTCTGTCAGACTAACTGACCTTGCTTCAAGTAAAGCTCTGTTCGAGCGGGATTATTGTTACCTGGGGACCTGCTGTAATTTGAGTGATTACTGATGAGCTCCGTGATTTTAATCCAGTATGAATCTGCAGTGTCCATAGTTTTTACAAGTCTGCTAAGTAATAATTCCAGAGTCAGTTACCTCCTATAATTCGCTAAACTCAGAGCTCCTCTGTAATAGTAGTCCTGCTCAAATCAACATCTCAGTAATGTAATAGGAAACAAACAAGTCTGAAGTCGGCTTCCTATTTGCCAGCGTCTGGTTCATACTTTCCCATTCCACCTGAATTGGTGCAGCAGTTACATTCTGGCACCGCAATTTTCAAAACAATTAGAAAAAGAATCTGGTGAACAATAAGCTAAATTCATTTTCACAGAAAATGCCGTCTCCCATTATTTTTCTTTTTGTGACCTGAAGACAAGGCTAACAGCTAAGGAGGAAAAGTTATGACAAGGACACTGAAATCTGCAACGTTTTTGGTGATGGCTGAGTTACAAAGAGAAGGAAAATTAACTCAAAAGCACCTCTCATTTTGTTGAGCAGCATTTGATAAGTTGAATGAACCCACTTTACTAGCCTAACAATAGTCTATTTGCCGTTAAACCGCAAAATATGTTGTTATTGTATGGAAATATTGTATTGTATTGTATTGTTGCATAACGCTGATGGAAACGTCCATGCGATGATGTTTTGATGCAGGGGTCATTAGGGTAAATTACAGAGATCCTTAATCCTGTATGAATCGGCCAGTCAAATCACACACAAATTACATTACTGGACCTCCTCTGGTAAAACAAGTACAGTTTGAATAGGTCTTATGGCTTATATAGTGCTAAACAGGTTGTGGCATGACATCAGAAGTATTTTGCTCGGGGAAATTCATCTATTAATGTTGTTTTTGTCATTGGATGAAGACATGGACGCTCCTCTCTGGAATATAATCGAAGGTAAGTACGTTTTCCTTTCCTATATGATTTAGTTCCTTCAGTTCAAATAATTTCTGCTGTCTACAAACAACTGCTTATATACAAAGTTAAATGCTTATACCAATTTCTCTGTTTCTTGCAGGCTCTTTCTTCTCCCCCTGCCATCATCTAAATTCCTGGCTTAATTAAACAGATGACCAAACAATTATTTAATAAAAAACAGTTTAAACTAGTATGCATCTGTGTTTATTTGTGTCCAGTCCAGTAACAAAAATGTCTACCCATTCAAACTGTATAGTTCTACCAGTAGGTTAGAAGAGTGTTTGAGTAGTTTGAGCATGATAGCCTACTTTCAGATGTTCATCTTTAGCTTATTTAAACTTTAGTAGTTTTTAAAGAAAATATTTCAGCACAGTATCACTACAGACTGATCCTCAAGGTTTCAATATCTGTATCTGTATCAGAAAAGACAAACTGGTACTGCACCATCTCTGGCTAAAGGGAACTTTGTCATAGTCTCTCAATATGTTGTCTGCAACACATTAAGGCAGATTTGGATAAAACAAATGATTGCCAGACTTTTTTTTCTCTCTCTCTAGAGTTTCGCCTGCTGATTGTTGAGGACCATGAGTGCTGGAGTGAACGTGAAGCCTGTGTCCCAAAATCACAGCAGCTCTGGGATCCCTCTGCCTCGGAGCATGAGCACATTCTCCAAACAGAATGCCAAGTACTCCAGCAGCGGCCTCGTAGGCCCACCTGGACAGTTTCAGCCAGGCGGACGAATGACCTCCTTCGCGTCTCCCACCTCCAGTATTGCTCCTATAGCTAACTCTAAGGAACTGCTAAAGGAGGCATCATCAAGGCTTCAGTATCAACAGCAGAAAGCTGCTCCAACGAGGGCCTCGCTTGACCGGATGATCGGCTCTCGCTCTGCCTACAGCAGCCCACAGATTCCTAAAAGGAACATGCTCCGCTCCAAAGACACACTGGACCTCCAGAGAGGCTCACTGCCCCACGAAACACTTCGAGAGCTTGCAAGGAATGGCAACAAGAACTGGAGATCTGGTCAAGCCCATTTCAGGAGTTTGGATAATGGTGATGTTCAGCCACCCGTCTCGTATGCAGGAGTTCCAGACAGGCAGAGCAAAGGAAGATGTCCCTCGTCTCAAAACAACCAATGGGAATCTCATATGGGGGGCATCATCTGGTCATCAACTGGCCTTCAACAAGCAAAGAAGCAAATTTACAAATGGAGGCACAACTGAGAGAGAAATTATGTCTTACAAGCCTTCAGGCCAGAATACCAGAGCAGCTGTTATCAATTCTGGAGGTAGTGAGTCCCCTCGAATGGCTGCAGTGGCACCTTTCAGGTTCAGGTAGGATGACTGAGTTTATACTCAGACAACAGTGTGCACAGTCCAGACATCACTGTTGGGTTATATGCTGGTGAGTTAGTTAATGCACAGTGAAAGCACAGCCTACCCCATCGATAAACCAAGATATGTTTAGTATGTGAAGTTTGCTTTTTTCGTTTTTAGCACTGTAGCTTCAAAGCTAATGTAGCCAAAAAGGTAATTAATGCTCATATCAAAACAGTTAGTATTGTGCAAACTACATGCCTAAACCCAGTGGCAAACCATGACTATCACAGCTGGACCTTCAGTTTAGGCCCCATGTGTCAAACACAAGGCCTGCAGGCCAAGTCAGGCCCGTTTCACAATGCACTACAGTTCCCAGCATGCACTGCAACTTAATGTGTGCTCCTGACCATTCCCCAACAATGATCTATGGAACAGCACCACAAAAATAAAAAAGATGCCAGGAGTTTAGTTCAAGCTAATGTGAATCATTCAGGTATTCAGTGCCTATTTTTTGCCGCTGTAGTTTTGGCATGTTTTGAATACACCATGACCAGTGAGGGTCATGGCAAACTGTTAAGTAAAAATAAAATAAAAACACAGCCGGCCCACAGAGGGACTCCAGAAATATGTTTGCACTAAGGTAACAGCGATTCAGCAATGACATCAAAACCTCTTGGCCATTCTAGGTTAACCACAGACATTTGAAGCTTGTAAAAGACGTTTCAGATTTTTATTAGAAGCTTGTAATAATGTATATTAATTCAAGCTTTTAATTCTAATTGACATACATTTAACCTTGTAGCAGTTTTATAGTCACTCTTACAGTAAAAAGTCCTGTTGCTGCTGATTTCCATGTCTAGCAACTGACTGAAACACAGTGGTTAGGCTACCACTCGTATTCATGCCAGTGATGTATCTAGGACCCCCAGAAAGCCTGGAATGTTGTTTTCTCACTAAAGTAGTTCCACCCATTCTGAATGAAAACATGACTGGCGGAGTTCCCTGTCATTTGCTAATTATGCTTGTGGTTAATTTGACACATTAGACCTTCAGTTCAGCTCCTGAAACACTAAGCTAGCTTGGCTATATCTACATTGATACTATAGTGAGAAAAGTCTGATTGGGTGATTTTCCTTTGGGCATTTCAAGAATTCAACTCTTTTGTTTCCAACTAAATCTTGCAGAGTTTAAAAACAACAAGCATCATGACTATATCTAATATAAATGAACTACGTATTACAGACATGTACTGACATGACACCTTAATTTTGTTTATTTTATTTTTGTCAATTTTATGGATGCACGTCATACAATGTAAGAAACCACTAAATCTAGCCTTGCACTTTGCATGATGTTAATTGGTGATGTTGTCGTGGAAAAATATCTCCGCAGCTTTGCTCTCGACACAGAACTAAAAATAAAACTCAAAATACCAGGATTGGCAGGAAAAGGCACAATTCTTTTAATGAAGATTAAGGCTTTCCAGCATTAAGCGTTAATCTTGAGTTGGCCTGGGCACAACAGCCACAATAATCCAAGCTTTTTATACTCTTTTTGGAAAGGGCAAGGAGGAGCCAGGTGTTGACCCCTCCTTGCCCTTTCCATATATTTCAAACTTTTTGATTTGCACACCATTATCTCCAAAAGTCACCGCTATTTTCAGCACCCTTTTTTTCCAAACCATGGAGTAGTATATTTTTGTAAAACGATCAAGGCCAAGGCCTTTCTCAGACCTAAACCTTCAGGCTTTATTTGCTTCATCTATTACATCTGGATTTATATGTTTTTCATTTATTTCTGCTACATATGCACTTTTCCTCTTTCCCAATGATCATTTTTAATGTTCTCATGATATAAACAGACTTCAGCTGTGTGTGTGTGTGTGTCCCATCAAGTCACAGCCGACACCTCAAGGCCATTCACAGAAGGCCTCCTCGTCCCCCTGCCTCAAGGCCACTCACAGACACAGACACACAGCCAAACTGTTCATCCACTGCGTAATACTTATATGTGAATGATTCAGTTCATCTGTTACTTTTGAAAAATCTTTTACATTTTATTTTACATTCTTTTACATGCTTCCAGTACTTGTTGTGTACAAAATTATGGAAACACCACATCAAATAAGCACACTGATAGGCCATTTTTTCAGGTACACCTACCACTTTGCAGCTGTACAATTACTGTAGACAGTGGCTGGACTAGCATCTTCACCCAGTGCAAAGAAAATAAGTAATGAATATATGATGTTGCAGGTTGTGAAGGATCCATCTGAAAACGTGTACCATGGATGAGCTGCAGTAGATAAATGAGCATCAGCTGTGTTAGTGTAGTGTTGATGGAGACTAACTACTGGAGCATGTTATAAAATTGGGTCTGTCTGTGGTTCGTGGTGCACAGTATCTGTATGAGAGGCACAAAAGAAATTTTAGGAGCCCAGTTGTTGTGGGGCCCCCTTGCGTCATTGGCCCTGGGGGAGATTTGACCACCCCCCACCTCCCATCCCTTTAGTAGTGGGCACTGTAGCCCATCTGTTGCAGCACAATTCATTAGGCCGTCTCTCTAACCCATCCAGGGTGGAGAGGAATAACCATAGGACAACCACTGACCAGATATTATTTGTGTTTTGGACCTTTAGTGCAACAGTGGTACTGACATGGTAATGACATGAAGGTGTGTTTATAGTAAAAAAAAAAAAAATGTCTATGAAAACTAGCAAATATATTGAAAATTAGATGTAGGTGTTTATATTAAGAAAAAAGTCTAATTTAATATGATTCCATGAAATAAGCAATAATATCTAGTTCTTCACACAACCGAAATCTTAAAACTAGTAAGAAACCATGTAAATATTATAAATGTGAAATAATCATCAAAGATTCTGTTTACATGCAGAATAATAAGGTGCAGGGACTGAAAATAATCTATTTCTCACATCCAAGTCTCTTGGTGAGGCTATGTTGCTGTAATCTGAGACTAAAACAGACAGTCAGACCTTTGATCTTTTATTTACTTCAGATCAAATCTGACTAAACCCCAGTGAGAGTGTTAACATGCAGCTTCTGAGAATTCTGGCTAAAAACATTAAACTTAGACTCCTAAATTCAGTGCTACAAAAATATCATCTAAAAATCACTGAGAGACAAAGTAAGAGGAGGCAACTTCTATAAACAAATGAAAAAGCCCTGATTTACAATCAAAACTATTGACATAATAATCGTAATAACCATGTGAGTGAGTCTTTGTTCTTGTTTTAGGCCATAAATTACTTATCCATATTTCCATATTATACAAAAAATGAATTTTCCTTTTTTGAAATAAAAGATTTTGAAGTAATACGTTGTATATTAAAGTTTTAAAGACCACTTAAAGTCCATACATGAAAAATAAGCTGCAAAAAAACAGCCCGTTGAGAAATTCATTGTTTCTGTAATGCCATGAGAACCAACTCATTTACATACATCCTATTCATCCTATTCGGCCTACAGCTGTTTGGCTCCGCCCACTCACACTGAAGTTAAAAGTTGTGTTTCAGCCCTGAGTGCTTTTTGAGTGAGGCACAAGACAGGACAACCAGAGCTTATTTACATATACCAGTCTTAAAGGCACAGTAACAAAAACAGCTTGTTTAGTTCTAAGAGACAAAGAGAGGTTGGGAAACGGTGATGTAGGAATGTATTATGACCATTTTTTGGTAAATAAACGACACATGTTATAAGTGGCTCTCAAGGAGAAAAATACAATGGAAGAAAAGTGTAAGATATGGGTCATTTTTAAAAATAAAATTAAATAAAATTTCTAAGTGAGACTGATTAAAGTAATTGTTCTTATACTCACAGCTCTTTGTAAGACAAGTCATTTTATCAGTGATAAAAAGTAAGATTTATTGCCTTGATATGAGGTAATTTCACTTGATTTTGAGCCACTGCTTTGTTGACAGTAGTCCACTCAACAAAAACATCCAGCAAACAGTGGAAACTGGCCACTGATGAAAAGCCAGACCAGAGGTCACTAATCTTATCTGCAAAGAGCCGGTGTGGCTGCATCTCATATAACTTATCAGTTTGTTTGAAGACCGAGACCAACTGAAAAAAGAAGTGGAATCAGGTGTGCTTCTGTTTGAAAGGAATGAAAACCTGCAGCCACGCTGGCCCTTTGTGGATAAGAGTGTTGACCCCTGGGCTACAGGATGATTGACACTGATTGTGTGTGGAAAAAGATGAGCTACAGTCTCTAACTCTGCCCTAACAAAGCACACCAACAAGGTAGCTTTGTCAAATAAGGGGGGCAGTAGGCGTACACAGTGTGCACCCTTTCCAGTGATGGATGGAGGCTGAAGAAGGCAGCTGAAAAACTGTGCAGCAACAAATGGGCTATACTCGGTCACTGTAAATTTACCAAATGCACCTCTATATGATGGGTGTTCCTGATAAAATGGATGGTGAGGATTATTTTATGTGGTGTTTCCATTATTTTGTACACTCCTGTAGCTCCAGTGCAAAACAAAAAAAAAGCCAGAGTAATAATTTCTATGAATACTGTGTATATAAGAATCTATAAACACATAACACATGATAAAATAATATATCCATAAGGCATTATAAACCTGGGTATAATATTTATAAAAAATTAAGGTATCATTTTCTATGAATGTCACGTTTGTAAGCATCTATAAACACATTTATAACATGTTATAATGCCTTCATACGGCATTATAAACATGATTATAAACATTTATAAAAAATGAATTACACTTTATAGCCATGTTTATTATATATTATGAATTGTTAATATAATGCATTATAAGTAGTGTTGATAACATGTTATACTGTCAGTGCCAAAGAAGTCAGTCCCAGCTTGGAGAGCGTAAAGTAAAGACAAATACCAAGCTAACGGTGGTGTACATTACCTTTCCCACATTGGGTAAAACACTGATGGCAGCCCTAGTTTAAACTCTGACATTTGAAGCCTGTAATGTGCTTTATTGTGTACATTTAAGTGTTTCAGTAAATTCTTCAGTAAATACTTCAACTTGAAGCCTCACTCTTAACACTGGAGGAGGCTTTAGTAGAGTACACTTCACTTTACTTAAAGCGGACAAATACAACTTATGAGCTCTTATAATTTGTTATGATCAGTACTTATAATGTATTATGTTAACAATTCATAATGCATAATAAGCATGGCTATAACGTGTAATGCATTTTTATAAATATTTATAGCCATGTTTATAATGCCATATGAATGCATTATAACATGTTATGAATGTGTTTATAGATGCTTACAAAGGTGACATTCATAGAAAGTGCTACCAAAATGAATACACTAAAGATTTGTACCTAAAATATTAGGGTGTTATGAATGTGTTCATAGACTCTGGACATCAAACATGTCTTGAAGCTGATCAACGACATTTAGCGTAAGAGAAAAATTGTCTAAATTTGATTTTTTAAAGCTATTGCTTTAAGTTAGGCCTAAATAACTGAATTCAAGTGCAGGTGCTGTTCTCACTCTTTAGGTTGTCTCTTCTCTGCCAAAACCAATATGTATAAATGATGTTAGAAAAACTGTGTATTTTGAGGGCCGTGACCAACAGAGTAGTCCTATAATTTTTAGGTCTGGACATGTCTTTTTGTCCCCCAGGCTTCAAGTTCAGGAGGACACAGATGCGTCCTCTTTGGACGACGTCAGCGACTGCTCTTCAGACTCTATGGAAGTGTGCTGTGAAGATTTAGGTAAGCCCATTCTCAAAGGACCCTAAAGTTCATGACCAGTATGTTACACTTGCTTTAGGCCTACTATTAAAGGCCTTTCGACTCTGAATGTGGACGTAATTCAAGCCTGGCAGAATTAGATGTAATTACTGTCTGGGCAATTGCTAGGTGCAAAGAGAGCATGCTATTTTGTCTCTGTTTCCACATTCAGAACCCTGCCATACTCCCGTCAGCTGTATGGCTCAGGCCTGGATCTGCCTTGATACGTTTTCCATGATCATAGCTTTGCTGTCAGCTTAACGTATAGGTCTAGGGAGTCGTGTATCCTGAAGAGTGAGTGCAGTTCAGTAGTTACCATGGGACTACTGTGTACAGCTGCGTTCATGCGTGCCATTGCTCTCCAAACTTAGAGGGATGTTTTATGCATCACACAGACAATTAGAGGTACAGATGGATGGACTGTTTCCTCGAATGCTTTTTCTACCCATGGCTTTTTACACAAAGGAAACCAACATATCAGTAGAAGTAGTTTTTGTTTGGCATTTTGAGGTTTTTCAGAGTTAAAGGCTGATGCTGGAGCAAGTAACGACCCCGGGTGGTACATATGAGGCAAGTTTATGGATGAAATGATGTATGTTTCCGCTGTGTCATGCCAGACTCACACTCGCAGGCCAATCTGGCAGACCTCGGTCCTTTAAATCTCTTATCTCACTCACACTACTGACAGACAATGCTATCCAGAAGCCTTCCTCAGCAAGAGACAGCTTCTTAGTGTCTCTGAAGAGAGAACAGTCTACATTGGAGTACAATGTGGGTTTTGGTTTTAAAAAGTTGTATTTGGTATGTTTTTTTATCCTTAACATCATGTATTTCACAACTTCTCTGACTTCCCCACAGCTTACTGATAAGGATTTTTGTTTTTAGTTTATTTAGTTCCCATTAGAACTGTAATCCAAGCGATCATGTTTCTCCATCATTTAGAGCTGTTCGAGCACTTTCCATTTAGACAGACTGTAGTCTTTTCTGGATGTCTCTCTCTGTAAGAACTGAAAAGTGGCAGCATTCCTTTCAAAAACACTCCTCCTCAGTCCAGCTCTGCATCTCCGCTGTCTGAGTTTCTTGTAAGATGCATTTGGGAAATCTGTAACATGAATTTATGCTTAAATGTCAGGAAATGTTAACACACTTACTTTTTAAGCCACTTATCTATCTGGGTCATTGGAGCCTGTACCAGCAGTCATTGGGCAGAAGGCAGGAAACACCATGGATAGGTCACCAGTCCACCACAGGGCAGACACAAAGACATATACATTCACACCGAGGGGCAATTTAGCATATCCAGTTTGCCTGACTGCATATCTTTGGATTGTGGGAGGAAACCCACGTGGACATGGGGAGAACATGCAAACTCCACAATGAAAGGCCTGTGGTCGCCCGGCCAGGGAATCGAACCTAGGGCCATGCTGTGAGGCAACAGCGCTACCCACTTTACCACCAAAAAAAACAGCAACAGAAAAAATTTAGAATTTTTTATGACATTCCAGGTATCTATAATCAATTATTTACTGAAATTGAACAGGAAAAAAGTTCATTCATCGACATTCAAAAAATATTACAGTTTCCACAGCGACAACCTTTTTGGAACGTTTTTCGCAATATATATATATATATATGAGTGATTGTTCATAATATATGAAAATAAAGTCACTCTATGGTCTCTCTGCCCTGTGAAAGATAAATCTTAATATTACAATTAATATGAACTTTTCTCTGCAAGGAGTTGGATAGACATTGAGGTGGTCCAGTGTTAATGGGGTATTCTGGCATAAAACTAGAATTTGATATATTATTAGCTGTATTAAGCAGTATTCTTTAGTGCAGCGTTGTGTCCATCAACCTTACTGGTTTCACAGAATTCACAATTTTTTGTTGTTTTTATTTTTTTGTCCATCATATGTGTTCACAACGATACTTAGCATGCATTGCACAAATATATAACCATTGGGAACCTCTGTGGTGTCAACCAGTCCTGACTGCTAGCCTAGCCACTGAGCTACTGGCTAATAAATACAACGACGCTAGCATTAGCGTAACTCTTTCCTCAGTTGTCGAACAAAAATGTAAATAAAACAGACATTTTGTCTTTATTCAGCTCAGAATTCACCCTTTCAACCAGAGAAAAGAAGCCAAACTGAGACAAGGTATCTAGACAGCCAGCTACCCTGCTAACTTTAGCTTTAGCTGGTCGTCCTCCTCATCTGATGAGTCATTGCTGTCGTATTGTGAGTAATCCTTCCCTCCATTGTAATGATAACTTGAAGACAGTTACAGCAGTTAAATAGTTGCAGTTGGAATTTGGCTTCCCAGCAGTAATGAGTTTCTGCACGTAAACACACTCACACACACACACTCACACACACACACACACACACACATATATGATATATATATATATATATATATATATATATATATATATATATATATATATGTATATGTGTGTGTGTGTGTGTGTGTGAGTGTGTGTGTGTATATATAGTATATATATATAGCCCTCTTTTACCCTGTTCTTCAATGGTCAGGACCCCCACATGACCCCCACAGAGCAGGCATTAATGAATCATTCTCAGCTTTCTCCACTGCCTTGTGGAGAACTCAGACACTGAAACACTGCCTTGAGTCAGTGGGAAACCCGGTCCTAGGGAGCCTAGACTTAAGCATTTTGCTTTGGATAAGCATCTTAAAACAATTTATGCCAAGAATCTGACCACTGGGATTGCTAGTTTAAGAGGTGGGAGTAAAATACTGTCGGACCTAAAGGTTAGTTGGAAAGCACTATATTGGAATGTTGTGCGTCTGCTTGTGTCATTAGTCCACGTGTAAGGATGTTTCATGGGAAATTTGATGAACAGACTTTTGGCTTTGATAGCATGGGAAAACATACTGTGAATAACACGTGCATTTTTCTGACAGCTTTGTTTTCTCTAACCCCAGACACACCATTGTCCATTCCCACAGTCCCCAGTGTTTCAAAATCCATGCTGTAATTTTGCAGTACAATCAATCACTCCTGTTGCCAATAAACGACTTTGTTTTCCTTCACTGTTTTTCTAGTTCACCACTAACAGTGTTGCAAGCATTCATGTAGAGTGGTGTAGTCTCTGCTTCAAACTAATCTCCAAGAATCATTGTTAACGGATGGAGTGCATGTGTTGAGGAAAAATAAATGGGCCAGAGTTATTTTTGAAGTGTATAGGTCACAATTTGTCCACATACACTGTGTGTCCAAAGGTTTGTAGACACCAGCATTTTTTCTGAAATCACGGTTATTAATAAGGAGTTTGTCCCCCTTTGCTGCAGTAACAACCTCTACTCTTCTATGAAAGCTGTACACTAGATGTTGGAACATTGCTGTGAGGATTTGATTGCATTTAGCCACACGAGCATTAGTGAGGACAGGTACTAATGTTGCTTGATCAGTTCTGGATCACAAACCCCACTCTGACTCAACTCAAAGGTATTGGATGGAAATTCGTCATTCTTGGGAATACAGTTCCACTGCACTACAGCCCAGTTCTGGGGGGCTTTATTGTCCTCTGGTAGACACCATTGCGCGTCCAGAGTGTCCCATTCTATTGGTAATGCTTTTCTGTGGAGATATTGAGTGGGCTGCACATTAAAGGAACTGAATGCACTAATTAGAAAGTGTGTCTAGTGTTAGTGTCTACAAACTTTTCGACATAGTGTGCAAGTTTCCTCATTACTGTTTGTTTTATGGCCCAAACAGCCATGTATATAAATTAGCATTACAGGTTTTTATGTACCTGCAAGCCAATTGTTCAGTCCTCAGATGAATACGTAGCTTTTGTATAACATGCACAATGGAAAAACTAAGTAAGTAGAAAGGAATCAAATCGTACATTTTAAAGGTGCCATAGAATGGAAAACTGTATTTACATTGGCACAGTTGAATAAGGACAGTTCAGTACATTGAACTGACATAAATTGAACCTCCAACACTTTTGTCTCCTCATTTATGAGCAAATCCCACATATGCAAAAGAGGGCAGTAAAATGGGCCAATTCCAAAATCCTAAACTGCTATGTAACAGTCTTAGCTCAATAATATTTACACCCCCAACACTTCCATACACCAGTCCATGTTCTAGCCCAGCAGGAAACAATGATAACGGAGCAAGAGCAATGAAAATGGTAGACTGTTTGCAGAAATTGAACTGTTCCAGACTGTGATGTCGGCACTTTTCATACCCTTCACTAAGAACCAAATTGTCAATGGGCATGACTGACGTTCATCTTTAAATGAGGCTGAAATTGGCTTCCTATCTATAAGCTTCTTGATTGAATGTTCCGTTCCTCCTTACATGCTACAGCTTTTGCAGGCGCCTAACCATAACTGTGGCACCATTTAAAGTGAAACGGAAAATCCGCAAAACAAGCTGGAGAATATGAAGCTAACTTCAAGATAACTTCAATTCAGAGTTGTTAGTTTGCTCTGCATATTTTACTCTAGACATTTTCTCAAACATTGGACAGCACTGAGCCAGCTTCGCTCAGCGTTTCACACTGAGGAGACTGAAGAGAGGGGCAGTTCTGACTTTATTAGCATCACAACACCAACAGCCACCTGTAAGTAGCAGCCATGCTGAGTGGTTTTGTTCACTTTTTACAGTTGAAGCCAGATTAAATCGAAAGTTTCTTAGTGAGCTAACAGCTTTAATTGACCTTGTGTTGTTGTTGAGAAGTTAACATTAGAATAAAAAGAAGCAAAGGTAACGTTAGCTACTAGCAAGCCCCAAGTAACTAGCAAAGCCGGCTAAAGAGTATGACGACCTAGTTTATTTACACTGCTATGTATGTTCCTGCCTCTATTTCAACATGTTGCTTTTGTTTGAGCCTTCGCAATTCCTCACTGTAAACCAGCAAATCAGAGCAGAGCCCGTCAAATTATTCATGAGTCCACCAAAAAAGGTAAAACAGCTTTTTGATTCTAGGGCCAAATCGCAGGGTTGGAAATGGACGTATAAAAC